AATATACGCTTCTGGTTATCATTGGAGGTAATGCATAGATACTCCACATTTTCTGCACTTTTCATTTCAATGTGGTATCCATTTAAATGTATGTCTTTGAAACTCAACAAATTTCGAGTAAATCGAGTAGCATACAATGCATTCTGTATGGACAATATTTTTCCATTTGGTAACATAATTTAGGCTTTCCCTGAGCCTTCAATTACATCTAATTGACCTGATATTGTTGTTACCCTTACTCTTGTAAGCATCAAGCTTAAGAAATACTTTCAATCACGAAGTATTGTATATGTGGTTGCGTTGTCTGCAAGACAAATATTTCCGTCATTTCACATGTTTTGAGAATAACCATAGCTTTATCCATGCTTTCTGAGTAAAAGGGATCACGGTTAAAAACAACTTAGAAATTTAAATGCCTCTATTATTGAAATGCGAGTTTTTAAACTACAAGTTTAGAATAATAAAAGTACATCAAATATAAATGATTCAGTCGGACCGATACACTTCATTCCCCCTTTCCACAATGAAGTCTGAGACATCTAGGTGGGTTGTGTTCAACTGTCATGATAAGTCGCACATTGGATCAGGTATATCCATTGGTCTAGCCTGGTCGAGAAAATTAGTCTCAACACATTTCTCCTTAAGGGAAACTTGATATAGATCCACCAGATGTTTTGGGGTACAACAAGTACGCGCCCAGTGCCCATCGCCACCACATCTATGGCAGGCTCCATCAGAGTTTCTAGAAGCATTGTTCATACGAGCTTTACCCTTGTGGCGATTTCCATTTTTAAAGCTTGGGCCTGAATTTTTCCTTGCAATCTGGCTATGAAACTAACCACCATTATTCTTGCCTTTCCTGTTCCACTGGCCTCGCTTATGGCCACATCCTCGTTTATGATTATCGCCACCAGAGGATGTGGCGTTCACTTCAAGGGAGCAGCATTCGCTTATGGGAATGGTGCAGATCTAGTAAGTCAGGACTGATGATTTTTCATCAGGAGCTCATTGTTTTGTTCAGCTACCAAGAGCACAGATATCAGCTGGTTGTATTCAGTGAAACCTTGCGCTTTATACTGCTACTGCAGGAGCACATTAGAGGCATGAAATGTGCTGAAAGTCTTTTCCAGCATATCTTCCTCAATAATGGTATCCCCACAAAGCTTCATCTAAGAGGTAATTCTGAACAACGCAGAATTATACTTAACCACTGACTTGAAATCCTGGATTCTTAGGTGAGTTCATTCATAGCGAGCCCTGGAAGAATCACCGTTGTCTGGTGATTGTATCTGTTTCTCAATGCCTTCCAAAAAGCTAACGGATCTTCAACCGTTAAGTACCTCAATCTTTAGTCCCTCATCAAGATAACGACAAATAAAGATCATGGCCTTCACTCGATCTTGAGAGGATGAGTTGTTTTCTTCCCTAATGGTATCTCCAAGATTCCCTACTTCCAGATAGATCTTGGTATTCAGGACCCAAGTAAGGAAATTATTCCCAGTAATGTCCAGGTCAGCAAAATTAAGATTTACCAAGTTCGCCATTTTCTTTTCTTTCTGAAAGAAAATTGAGATGCATAAGAAGTTGAAATAATATGTATTCCTGAAGGAATATAGCGTCAAAACTGATAAGCACTCGAAACTTCAAGCTCGAGATTTTCATGATTAATGAGAAGGGCGATTATACCGCACCATTCTCATTGAAACAAGCATAGGATAAGCGATTATTCTGCACCACTTGAACAATAGAAAATTTTAAATATGCAGAGCAAGATATAATCAATTTAAATATGTAGAACAAGGTGGACGATTATACCGCACCACCTATAATTGCAGTAAAATTAAATTTGCAGTTCAAGATGGGTAATTGTACCACACCATCTTTGATCGCAATGAAAATTAAATTTGCAGTTCAAGATGGGCGATTATACCGCACCATCTTTGATTATAGTAAAATTAACATAAATAAACACTGGGTTAGAAACCAGGAATTACACCAAACAAGAAATCAAAGATATAAGTAACTGTTAAATTTAGAACAAGAAGCAGGCATGGTGCTAGCAGCTCATCGCGATGGTGCATCACGCAGATGAAGCAGAAGAAAAAGAAAAACAGGAAAAACCTTAAAGGAAGCATTTTTTTTTCTTTCTTTCGGTGAAGGGAGATGTGAACTATTTAAGATTAGAGAGTCATGCTGATAACGTGTTATAAATAGACAAAAGTTAGAGAGATAACCTTTCTAAGAACAGAAGCGAAGCAGGTGCAAAATATCACATTATGATTTTAGTAGCTATAGCACAAAAAAGGATGGCAGAAAAAGAGAGGGATGGATACGGATATTATTTCTCTTGCTTTCTTTCGCAGTGCATATTATAACAGACGGAGTGCTCTATTTATAGAGCGACTCTCGTAACTACAACCATCAAAATACAATGATGGTACTTTTGAAAATATCAAACACTATTACTCATTGTGATTAAATTTTTGGGCATTCTTTTGAGTGGGCATTCACCCACTAATTCTATAACAATGGGAATAAAATGTAACGAGCAAATAAGCCTAAAAACGGATGGGCATAATGTGTTGGGAGTGGTGGATCAATTTGCCTTTTGTTTCACCATCTGGGTTCTGATAGGCATGCACATGGAGACTTTTCCTAGGCATAATAGGGTCACTAGCAACGCACATGTGGGGTCTTCACCCACGTGCTCCATAGAGCTCAACTCTCTATACCTTACCCATGACTATCCACCAAACTACAACTTTACCAATTTTATTTTATTTTATTTTCAGGGTGGAAAAATAGTTGATAGGATAGATATTTCAACAGCAATCAAGACATAGTTCCAACAGGGATTTGGATTCCGTCCGGATCCAGATTGTGGGGATTTTAGGGATCCTCACATCCTAACCGTTCATCGTACATCGTGTGGTCAGAAATTATTTTGAATTTTTTTATTTAAAATTAAATACAAATAGTACTTAACGAAAATTGGTCATACGATATACAATGAACGATTAAGATATAAAAATTCCTAGGATCCTGACAAAGAGAATCCAGAGAGGATCCTCATCCTTCCAACAAATCACTTGGAAGTAATATATCTTAAATTCAATTCTTGTAAAAATAAAATAAAATAAACCCATTTTCAGGAGCTATTTTTTACAAATAATATTGTTGGTTAAAAAAAAAATTAAAGAATCTTTCTAATAAATACTTGCCACTTGGTAACTCGTGACAAGATAGTACTTTCTTTATAATGACTGGTTGGTAGAGCACGTTTAAAACAACACTGGTTGGTGAGACAATTTGTGCTTTTGCATCAAACACAAAAAAGTTCAATTGTTACATTAATTATTTCTTTCATTGAGGTCTTGCGTACAACTTGGGTCACAGATTGGAAACATTTATGAATTGAAACAAACTCCATGTAGATTAGTCAACATCTTTTTAAGGGCTCCTAATGTGGTCCCGTAATTTCTTATGGTGGATTAAAAGAAAGGAAAACTAATAAAAATGGCTTCAAATTTTTACATTTTAATCAAAAACCATCAACCAACTTTATTTAATAATAAGGACAAAAGAATAAAAATAAAAATAAAAACATAAAGAACCCAACTTGCGCTAGGTGCATCCCCCATATAAACTAATACAAGAAATCCTTCATCCAAACATCCCAGAAACAAGAGAGAGAGAGAGAGAGAGAGAGAGAGAGAGAGAGAATGGATGCATTACCAACACCAGTCGACTTCAAACTCGACGGTATTTTGCTGCAATTTGTCGTCAAGGTTGGGGTTTGTATGCGCAGAGGTTGCAAAGGTTGAAACCCTCGAGTTTCAACGCAAAATTAGCATCAAAGAGTGCAACATAGTGAGATTAAAACCCTGAAATTCAAAAGTAAGTAGAAACCTCACCTGGGTTTGAGTTTGAGAGCTTCAAGCTCTCAGGCATTAATGGTGCCGAGGTCCACACTACACTGATCCCACATGTAAAACCACCATTGTGATCTTTGCATCCCACAGGCTTCAAATATGCTAAGTTTGGGGTTGATTTGTGAAGGTAAGTGGGAGGGTGAGAGCTTTCTTCCCTCAGTGCTAGAGAGATTAAGTTCGAGAGAGAAAGAGAGTTTTAGAGAAAGTTCAGAAAATAATGTGGGCGCATCCCCCCATATAAACTGATAAAAAAAACATACAGAGAAAATTTGATGAGTATTGAAGAAAATTAGAAGAAGAAAATGTGTTTGGAAGGTGAGAATGTGATAAGAAAATTCAAGAGGAGAGAATAAACGGTGTCGTAAGTTTCATAAACAGTGTAGTAAATTTTCATAAACAGTGCAGTAAGTTTCATGAATAGGATCGTAAGTTTCATAGACAGTGTAAAAGTTTCAAAAACAGTGTGAGAACATGTGGGTTCGCATGTCAGATGTTTTTTAATTATTTTTTTTTTAATATTAAAATTATGTCTTTTTCATTAAAATCTAAGTTCTTTTGACCTTTTTATGAGATTTTAAGGGTTTTTCATTAAAATTTAAGTCTTTTTAATTAAATAAAGTTATTGCACGGTTCTTTATTAAAATAAACTTAGTCCAAAACGTTTTCATGAAAGTTCTCTTAAAAGAATTGTCTATGACGAGTTTGACAAATGTAATTTATGTGTACACATGTTTATAGAGAAGGAAATCAAGTTGCAAATGTTTTAGCTTCATTTGAAACAGATAGTTATGCTTATTACTAAGACTCTATAGCTCAAGATTTTGCTGCCTCTGCGCATGGTTTTCCTTATTATCATTTTGGTTGATCATGTTTATCTTTGCAGGTCTTAGCATAATCCCCCCGCTTGTATTTTTTTTTGTTTACTTTCATTTATTATCAATAAATTTGGTGGAGAAGAGACGAGCATGAGACTTCTGGTTATAATGGTCATCATCCCTTCGGGAAAAGGTTGCCGAATAGCTAATTTCCATTTGGGAAAAAAAAAACAAAAAAATCGCTCCTCAATCCTACAAATTACAGAGCCAAATAACTAATCAAACACTTTTAAGAATCCATTACAACTTCAATAGATAACTAACATTACAACTGAAGACTTTGAGACTCTGCCATTACCACTAGCATGGCATGGCAGGAATTTCATACAATGAAGCATAAATCCTAACCCATTCAACCCTCTGCTAACCCTACAATGCTGCCCAACAGTAACAAGTATTTTCTTCATGATGGAGGTATTACCGCTTCTGCACTCTCCAGGGTGATTTAAAATTTTTGCCAAACTAATTTCCCAGTAAGTCCATAAAGTAACAGGATCAATAACTTCATCTAGCCGATATGCCAGAGTAGTCATTCGAAGAAACATCATGCCCAGATGTGACCTTTTGTTTCCTGCCCTGCCTTCGATTACCGGTGGTTTCTGCGCGAATCCCTTCTCTTGCTGCCGTTGCCTTCCCGTTGTCTTGACGGCTTCCCACCTGTCTTCATAGCACCAATCACAAGCAATATGAGACTTGTACAGTACAAGTGACAGAAGAAAAATGGGAAAGAAGAGGTCGGTAACAGCATCTATTTATTTATTACATAAAGAAACCAAAATAGCACTTTACACTTATTTTCATCCCTAAAAGCTTAAGTTCATAGTCCACAGTTCTTTGCCTCAAGTTATTTAAATTTAAAAGACAATGCCTCCACAAGTTTCAAAATGCACACAATACACATTAAGCACTTAAGAAACACAGTTTCGAGATTACTAGCTGGAACAGAAGTTGTTCTCTGTCCACCATTCATTTTTATTTTCTCAGTAATGATCAAATTTGGCACAAACACTGGTCGGTAATTGGATTCCTTTGAGAACTTGAATGAATACTAGATTAATTGAAGTGCCTGTATCAAACAACCATCTTATATGTCTCATTTTAAAAACACAAAAAGAGAAAATTAGGTTAAGAAGCATAAAGATGAGGCTACTGACCCCTACACAAAAACTCGGAAAATGATTGTCGAAGCCAGAAGGATCATCCAAGGTCACCTTCTCATAGTTCATTTCAGAGCAATCACGCTTGTTATTGGAACTTGAGCTTTCACAATAGGATGCATACGAAGAAGTAGAACAGGAACTAGGGGTCCGAGAAGCAGACCCATAACTCCCAATATCCCCTTGAAACATTTCATCAAAAAGATCCTGCAATTCTTCAAACGTCTCCTTCCCATCTTCCTGTCAATTACGCATTGCTCGTATGTCAGTATGTACACAGAAACACTATCATCATCACCATCATCATGATTATTCGAAATGAAACATTTCTTGAAACTTCTAATCATGTAGAAACTCATAAAAGACTGGAAGCTACTTCCTAAAGTTTCTCACTGCATTACCAGAGAGACTTATGATTATAGTCACAATGTTCAGCTCACAATTTTTATTCAACCTGGAACAAGATGAAAGAAGAAAATATGAAATTTAAACAAAACAAGCTCTTAATCATGCAGCATTAGCTGGTTCGACTAGCGCACACCCATCCAAAATTACTAGACCCCACATTTTTGCATGTCCTTAATATTTTCGAAATTACATATTAATATAACTTTTTTCGAATCTTGAATAAAAATAGAACACTTCTCACTATAAGGTCACTAAACAGGAAATAGAACACATTTTACTGCCCCTATATTGCACCACCAACCCCCCCAACACTGCACGCCCAGTCTAAGATGGCTCCGTCCTTGGTACTGGCACCTTAATGCCTTCCCTTCGTCTTGGGCTTCCCTTGATTGCAATTGAACAAATAAAGTTCCATCAATAGGTGGGGGCCACGGGGACTATTTTTTTTATATTTGAACGATATTTTAATCTAAAGTAAATGGATAGAGATTCAAACTAGGGCGTAGAAGGGAGAGCGACTAGGCTACACCCTCGTGCGGTCAAGGCCCTAGCTAGTGGGCCCTTCAGGAACAGACTTTACTAGGATGTTACTACAATTGTAGTTGAGCCTATCCATTTAAACAGCACAGAAGTGGCCCATCAACACTCTTTTTCTAGAATAAATCCATTATTTCCTCTTCTCAAATGTCTTAGCAAAAGTGATGGTGAGGCATCAATGGAAAGCAAACATAAACCAAAAACGTAGGTTTTCACAAAAAGCACAAGAAGCTTTTTTGCATCCCATTTTCTCCCTAATCTGTTTCAACATGTTTAAAACATGTTATGCATATATGTGTTAGTGTTAGTATGCGCAGGAAAGTCGGAAATTAGAAAAGGAAGAAAGGCAAAGTTGTACATACATTAGGCTTCGTTTGGCTCATCATCATTGCCATTTCGTTCAAAAACTCACCCATCCCCTGCACAAACATATTCACAATAAGCTCATAATTAATGTAGAATGGAACATACCAAAAAAGTTGCATCTACATTTAAATTGGTCCGCACTAGTATCACTTGGGCGGCTACATTTTGACAGATTTCTTACAAGTAAGAAATTAACAGTGGTAAATGTCATCGAAGATGTTTTAACCGACAAATATTAATTTTTGTACATTTTTAAACAAAAATTTAACGATTAAAACACCAAGACTACCCGTTACTCCAGAGCACCAAGTATATCCCTCAAAAGAAAAACTTACATTGTTTTCGTCATCATCACTGCCATAGGCTCCTACATCGTAAAGAAACCTCTTATTCGCGTCAGATAAAACTGTTCAACAAAAAACAGACATTATGCTTTCCTCGTGACAAATTCAAACGAAAATAATAATAAAATAAGAATTCTGGTAAACTCACCCACCATTTTTCCACCCTTTTAATAAAAATATTAATAACATATTTTATCGTGTTAGATAAAGACTTTTGAACCCTTAGTTGTAATAATTAGACACGCGACTTTTTTTTCAATTAAAATGATTTCTGAAGCTTCTAAACGGTGATTCGAAATCCAGAACGAGAACTCCGTCCCAGAAGAAAAATGGATGTGAAAAATTGCTCCATTCAGGTTGCGTGCGAAGCCTGATGGCCCCCAGGGGAAGGTCATTGTGTCGGTCGATTTCAGTGGAGTTATACAAGGGCAGGGGAAGGTCATTGGAGCGGGAAGTGAGCTAAATATCACACTACATGATCGTAATGATATCATTCAAATTTGTTTTTAATAAGAATTGAACCTAATACTAAGTGACTAACCTATTTTTTTTTAGTACAGTGACATATTTTACATTAAGAGAAGGGGGATTCAGCTAAGCCAAACAATAAACAACCTAATTTAGTATTGAATTCTTCATCTACAAAAATCAAACTTTAGATCTCTCACTGAATATTACCGGACTCTAATATTGAATGACGCTAAGTGACTAACTTGTTGGGAACTTTAACGAAATTTTAATGAAAAATCATATTTTTACACTAAAAAATTCATTTTCATACTATTCACTTTCCCTTTTATTTTATTTTTATCGTTAAAACTCAAAAAATTCAAATCATTTTCATTACTTATTCGTAACATTTAATTTAATGGTGTATAAATGTAGATGAAAAAGAGAATAATGAGTTGGGCGGCCGAGCAGCACTCTAAAATAATAATAAATGAGAATCAAGTGTTGAAATTACCAGAATAGGCTTGTTGAATGTCTTGGAATTTTATTTTGGCTTCTTCCACGAACTTAGAATTTCCGGGGGCAGAACAGCGATCCGGGTGCCATCTCTGTACCAACAAGCATATAAAAAAATTAACCAAAAAAATCAATAAATTAAAGAAAAATACACAATTCCTTGAATTTCCCTCAAATCCCAGAAAAATCTCATACTTTTTTCGACCTTTCTAACCTGTTTTGATCATGCAGTGAAAACCCATATCCGGGATTTACATCCTGAAAACCCAATTTCCCATGGAAGCAAGAAAGGTCCAATTTTTCCAATGATTTGGCAGAAACCCAGAAATAAATGGAGAAAAAAGATCAGAACTTTAGCTCTGGATTTCAATTTTAGAAGGACCCAATTGAAAGAATCGTGAAAAAGGGTTTAAATTGAATTGTGCAAAAATGGTGATGAAATTAAATTCTAACCAGTGCAAGTTTCTTATAGGCATTTCTGAGCTCCGAGTCTGTGCATTCCTTGTCCAACCCTAAAACTGCATAGAAGTCACTGCCTTTCTCTTCCCCATCAGCCATTTCTTCCTCTTTCAACTCCTCCAAATCCAAAACAACCTTAGTTTCTCTGTTTGCTGTCTACAAATTATAGGACCCAGAATTCCAAAGGCGAAGACAAAGATTGAGATGTCGCACGCTGTCGTACTACATCTTTGTGATTTGGAACACGGAACCTCTAATCAAAGGGGGAAGAGAGAAGGAAAAAGATCTCACCCCTCTGCAAATAAACACGGAGGCTCAAAGAACGCTCCAGAAACCAATCCCCATTTAAATGGTATTTTTCTTGTGGTTTTTATTTTAATCGATTTGGAGGATCTTTGGAGATGGACGGCCGAGATTGAGCGAAAGGTGGTAGATATTTATGCAGATTGTGAATCCAGAAGGTTCCGTTTCTCACTGTTTCGGAAGCCTTTGTTGACGCCAAGGGAAATAAAACATAGGATGTGTCCCACCCGCACACAGAATGGCTTTTTATCACAAGTTGGTAGCCAGTCAGCAATTGGCGTGGAAGACTGTAGACTGTCGGGTGGATGGGATTTGGATTCTATATTTGGCACATTTACTCATTTGCCATTTTGGGTATTGGCAAATAATGGCAAATTTGCCATAAATAGAACCACGTTGCATGGTGATGCAGTGACAATGGTATTCACACTTTTTTTTGTTTTTTTTTTTTACTTTTACTGTTTTTGTTAATTTTTTTCATTGAATTGATTTGACTGTTCAAAATTAAGATAAATGTGTAGAAAAATAAAAATAAATAGGTGAATAGCATAATTCTAATAAGAATTCACTTAAATTTGTAATTTACTTGGAAATTTGCGCCAACCAACTTATCGTTTGCCGTCCACCGACCCTATTGGTTTCATAAACTAGGGGTCTATCTATTAGAGCTAAGGGTTGAGGATTAACAACTGTATGTGAGGTGCAATCCTATCAAGTTAAACTAGCAAGCCTAAGAGCAACTCCACCAGGAGGAGTAGCTCGATGGACCGACGACTGAATAGGATTCAATAGCCCTAGTTCCTTGCTCCAGCCCTTATGAGTGATTGGGTTGGGGGGGCCAGAAGTAAGAGGCCTGGTTTGAATTGGTGGCCTGAGAGCCTAAAGTCATATGATGCATGGCTGACGTCAGCAACATTATAAAATTAATAAACAATGTAAAAAATTAATAAAAAATGTAAAAAAGCAATAAAAATGTAAACAATTAATAAAAAATCTGAAAAAAAAATTTAATTTAAAAGTAAAAAAGATTTAATTTTTTCTATAAATATCTTATCATTATCTTCTACCTTACACCACAATTTTATAATTTCTCAAATACTTTGGATTGTAATTTCTTATTTAATGAAAAGTGATACAATGAGACCGATTAAAAATCATATTCGAAATTTGAAATAAATTCTTTTTATTATTTTATAAAATAAAAAATACTAATATTTTATTGCATATTATCATGGCTATTCAGTTTAGGGGTGGAGATGCAAAAGGCAATTGTTTTTCATTAAAGACAGTTACTGTTCACTGAAGGCTATTCAATAGGAAGTTGCTCTAGGAGGCCTTGATACACTAGAGTTGCTCTAATCCCTCAAGAAAATAACACATTATAAAGGAAGAATCTTGGGATTTCGTTTGGTAGTTCAAATTGTACTAACAAGGGCGGAATCAAGTACAAGGCTCCCTTAGGCTATAGCATAGGGAGAGTTTGGTTCTTCAGGTTTAAAAATATTAATTTTTAGGTTAGTTTATAATTTTTAATTGTCATATTCCACTTAACAAGTGAAATTTTTTTATTAGTAAGGTTATTTTTAAGAATAATAAGAGCTAATAGATGTTAAATAAACCAATCACTTTAACCAATATTATATTTAATAGTAATAAATTAAAATTTCCATACCATAAATGATTCCTTATTTTATTCACTTGAAAGCTTTAAAGGCTAGAAACCTAGAAAACATAACATAAAATTCTTGCTTCAATTTACTACTAATGAGTCAATAGTATCTTATATATTTCACCCTATTCTTAGTATAATTTGGTAATTATTTTGGTAGAATTTTGATACTTTGCTTTATATTCTCAACGTAGGACATTAGAATTCCTCTGGAGCAAAACATGACCGAACGGACGAATTTTGGAGTGATTCAAATTGGAAGATGTTCGTGTGTGTCCTTAGCTTGTTCGTGTCAAAATCTCAACAATTTCTACCAAGCGGTTATTTTCTGGAGATTAAATGAAGGAGCAGTGCGTGATGCTGGAAATTGACGTTTCTGGGCTTAAACTGCGTTTTTGGAGCCCAAGATGACCTCAGATGGGTTCGTGGCCTTCTGAAGAAGTGTTCAGAATAGTCAAAGCTTTAAATCCATCTATTTTGGCCCAGTTTTGGAGCTGATATGGGTCCAAAACGTGGCTGTGCAAGATTTTGGGTAAATTTACCAAGTCAATTTAGGATTATGTTTCCTATACTCTTTATTTTAATTTATTTAGTTCCCTAGTCTTACTCTAAGACCATTTTTTATTAGGAGGGTTTAATGAGGGTAGTATAAATAAGCCTTTTTGGCAGACATAGGGTTTTTAGAGAGAGGAGAGAACGCATGCAACTTTTGGAGAGAAGATTTTGGGCAAAGTTTAGAGATTTTCAGATTTTATTCTACAAGTTGTTTTCATTCTTTTTCTATTTCAATAAAGACTATGATTTTTAGTATGAATATGCGTAACTAATTCTTTTTGCTAGGATGAGGCCATGATCCTTAGCAAGAATATGTAGTCGCTTTTTAATTTGCTTATGAATTTATGCATGCAAGTTTTGGATTGTTAATCACTGTACTTTAAACTATCTATTTGTCTTAGTGATTCGCAACTATTAGGATATTTAGGAAAGTTACTTGATGCAATTTTGGCGAAGGGATGTCCCTAAAATTGACTAAGGCTTCTTGGGGTTAATATGTGTAACCTCTTACGATGGACGACACGTTTTAAGGGTTATATGGTTTTTCAAAAGGTTTTCATAAAACTTAATTAGTCTTGCGTGTTCACATTCAATCTGAACACCACGGACGGGTTGCATGTTAGATATACGTTCTATGTTGGAGGTTCCAAGTAGGATATACTTTAGGAAAACCTAACCTTCAAAATATATATGTATGGTTCGTAAGTAATTTAGAAGAGCTACATAGGATTGTTAGGGTGATGGCAGAACCCTAGTACTTTCTCACTTTGAATTCTAAAAATTGTTTCTGATAGGAGCATATTTAGGCGACTTACTTAGCTTGTTTTCGTGCATTTATGTTGTTAATTCATAGTTGTTTTAGTAGTTTAAGCTATTTTCGTTTGTTTTTAGGTCTTAATGGCAAAGGGAGCAAGAAAATGCATTTTGAGGCTATTTGGAGCATTTTTGGGCATGGATTGGATAGCTTAACCATGGAGCCAAGAGGATGGACGAAATTGAAGCCTTGTGTGCACTTTAGGACATAAAACAAAGGGCCTAGCCCAATCAAACAAAGCCTTAGAACCAGAAATTCCCATACACACACCAACACACCCTAGTTGTCATTCCACATGCACTCCCCTTGCATTTTCAGCCATTCCATTTCATTATTGCAGCCACCATTCACTCTTTATTCCACATGCATTCATCATCACACACCCTAGCTGCCATTCACATGCATTCACATGCATCACAACCCTAAAACCATCAAGAAATCAACCTTGCCGTGGCTCCTCTCCCATTTCCAGCTTTTCCCTTTGCATTTCCCTTTCATTTCAGCCACATGTATCCTTCAATTCAGCCAAAATTCCACATGCATTCATCATCATTCACCATAATCCTTCCCTCACATGCTTTCCCAACAAACAAATCAGCCAACACATGCACCCATCACCCAAAACAACTCCTTGTCGTGCACATGCATTTCCCCTTGTGCAATTCCAGCTTTCCACCCACTTTCCTAGCTATTTTTCACATGCATTGCAGCCACATTCTCACCCATTCTCTCCCTATAAAACCATGCAATCCCATCACCTCCCTTCATACACAACACAACACAAAACACATTCTCCCTTCCTTAGCCGTGCATCCCTCTTCCAATTCTATCATTCTCCTCTTCCATTTCCACCACTCCCCAACCCTCCAAAACACTATCCAACCATTCCTCCATACAAACACCAATCCAAAACCTATCCTTAGACCTTATGCCACAACAAAGAGAAGGAGAAGAGTGCCTAAACGTTCATACAATTCAAGTTTGAGTTGTTGGAATTTTTAGGTGTTGCTTTTCCTCGATTTCAATGTTTAATTTCAATTATCTTTGTCTTGTACGTATGAGGAACTAAAACCCCCCCTTGGCTAGGGGGGATTCGAAATACATGTTTATGCTTGCAATATGATTTGATTACTTCTAATTGCGTTTCATAAGTTGTGGATTCAATTTGTTTAACTATTTGATTGATAACCTATTTATGTATGTTTATTGAGAGTGCACGCTTAATTTTCATGCATGAATATGACGCTAGAATATAAGTGAGTTTCACCTAATAGTTATGAACTTATATTCACAAGTAGTGGAGGTTGCTTATAAACAATCGCGTTAAGTAAATTCTTGGCATAAGTTTCATGCAATTCATAGTAACGAATGCCTCGTCAATGCTTATGGTTTTCATAGAACTTAATGATTCTTGCTTGTATCTCTATTATGCAATTCATTTAGGGAACTTGTGGGGAATGCTTTGGGTTGTCGTATGCAATCATCCAATTCATTAACTTAAGGAAAACTTGATGGTTAATTTAAACGGACCTAATTAACCCATGGTGTTGAGAATTCATGGTTTATTGAAAAGCAATTAGAAATCATTTTGTATGCAAGTATAACATGTGTGGAGATGAACCCCTTAGCTAGCTTCCCATCCATTCAATTCCATCAAATTCGTATTTACAATTTGTTTTCTTTACAATCTATCCATTTTAGTTTAAATTCGTCCAAATCCAATCCCCCTTTACTTTGTTGAGTCATAGTAGTTAGAAATCAATTTGGTTTGTATTTCTAGAATATGGTTTAGTTTGGTGTCTTATATTGTGTTTTTACGTTTTTGAAACAAATCCAAGTGGTTAACAATCCCTCCTAATCCCCGGTCCAGAACGATCCCTACTTACATACTTACTACAATTGATAAAAAGAA